CACACACATGTGCATACGCCCATATATATCTAGAGCTATAGATAAAATCTCCCTAAAACCATCATGCATAAACACAATGAAACAGTTTCAATTCCTTAGCAAAAAGAATATGTTCTAGCTAGGAGATGAGACAGAGGCTCTTTTCCCCCTACATCAAAACTAAAAGGCATCCCACTTACAGATACTTTAGTATCCAAGCTGCTTCTACAGAAGAATGGGGGAGGCGGGAATAAAACTTTGGCTCTTCATCTGGAACATTTCCATGTTTTCAACATGCAGATTGTTGCATAAACTCAAGAAGCTCTCTCAGGCACGTGTTTCTGCCAGCCACTCCTTCGAAACCACATCTCTGATAATCTGCTTGCTTAAATGTATATAGCTGTAGGACAGACCAGTCATGAGCCTGATGACATTCCAAAGTCCTAGACTAACAACTTAGGGCACCACTTTGCTCTGGACAACAAGGGAGAAAAACAGGTACACACTGGTAGCATGAGCATGAGCAACACTGCAATACACCAAAACTGGGAAGAAACTGAAGTGGTTTGAAAGTCGCTGCACTGGCCTTCTGACTCATCAGACATTAACAAAGACATTCTTGGAACCTGTACTCTATCTGGCCATCAGCAAAGTCACCATTCATGGTCTTCCAAGAGTTACATCCTTTCAGTTGCTTCCAGCATACCTTGAAGCCCTTTCCCCACTAGATTTATTCCACGTTTGGGATTCCCCCTGCACTAAATTAAGATGCAACATTCTTCCTTAAGGCATTTTTGGGAACTTTTTTGTAGTCAGATGCATTTCCCCCCCCCCCGTGCTAGAACTATTCTCCAGAATAGTTGTTAGAGCATTTGATCCAATTTATATCACCTGCCTATAAAGACACTGAGAGTCCTCTCCAGAAACAACTTTTAGCATTGCAAAGTACTGCACACACTCTCCACGAATAACACAGAAACCACACAGGCTTCATAAAAGGCTCAAGGTAGTGCACTTTTTGTGCATTCTTATGCACTATAGAGAGCAGAGTACTACTACTCTTGCTCAGGAGAAAGCTTGTCTTCATGTTAGGCTGTGCCATGAGAGAAAAAGGAATAAAAAGCAACAGAAATGCATGGCAGTACAAAAGGACTAATTTGCACACTCAGTTCACCACTTTTTTTTCCACCATTATGCACCTTGGATCTTTCAAGTTGAAGGAAGGAGCAAACTGCCTATATTCCCACAAGAGAAAGAAAAGCTCTCCCCTGCAGCTAATATAATAAAGTAAGTGCCTGGGCATTACAATCTGAGGTTATGCTAGGTGGATGCCTTTCCTAGCAACTGCAAACACTCTTCTGCTAACTCCAAGCTTCATGTCGGAATCACCAAATCCTTGAGAAACAGCCCATTGATTTGTTAGTAAAATAACCCTCAGCATCCCATTTATCATTGTCTTTCTGACTAATACTGGATCATGAGTCATCACCCAATGAAATTATCTATTGCATATAGTTACTAATAATTATAACATCTGAATTCTTAAGCAGGTATGTGATGCCACTGAAGTCTCACCATTATTGGTCTCCAGAGCTCCGACAATCAAATGGTGCTGTCTTTCAGACTGCCACACAAAACTCTCTGGGATAGTTGCTGGTTAAGGCTCCTGACAAGTAATTTATCTTCACTACAATGCTGTGGACAAACCAGAATCTACAAACAAGAGACTTTATTACTGCCTTTTCCTTCATATACCACCATCTGCTAATGCCCAGGACATCTGACAAAGGCTGGCAGCAAATGAATTATTTCATGTTTAAGTCCAGAATTGCCATTGCTTGAAAAGAAAAAGAAGGAAAGGTGTTGAGAAAGTGAGAAATCAGGGACAAGAAAAATCTGATCATTAAGTTACTGGTTTAGTGTGCTTGGGCCTGGATCTCAAGTGTCATTTGTCTCAGGCAAGCATATTTATCACTGAGTTTCACTCTCAGCCTTCGTCCTATTGGAAACTCTCAGCCTTTTTCCTACTGAAGCTCCTCTACCTTAGAAAGTACCCACACTACTCATTTGGCAAGTCAGATAAGGCAGTCAGAAATGGCCTACTGCCCTTCTGGCACAGCTGCCTTCTCTGCATCATGGAAAAGCCATTCTGGGCCCAAGGCTTACTTTTTCTAGCAGCATTGAATCATCTCCATATAAAAAAGAGTTGAAGTTCTTTTTAAGCAGCTCCACATTTGCTGTGGGTTCTGTCACTTTTCTTCCCAAATCACAGCCAATCAATAAAGTTGCCAGAAAAACTGAAGTCTTCTCTGGAAGGACAGCAGCAGCTCAGCAGTTGAAGGTGTAGGCGGGGATCACTGTCTTGCTCTGTGCCTGCTTATTATGTAAGGGCACATTTTGTTCTGTTGGGGCTACAAAACTCTCCACTGGCACGCCAGTTACTGAAGACTCAGAGTGCTACTCTTCCCACGACTGTCATGGGAATGTGTGTTTCATGTTTCCCAGAGCTCCAAAGAAGCTGCCACACATAGACTCTTCATCCAAAAAGCCACCACAGTAACTTAATAGCTGTGAAAAAGCTACAGACGTCGTACAGAAGATTTCTTTGCTTAAAAATACTGAAGTGAGTACACACTTAGTGCCCTGACAGATAGACTTAACTACACAACCATTTAACACCCATACCGAGGGGGGGGAAAAGGGTATTCCCTGGCTTCCCAGTGCTATTCTGACTACCTGGCAACAACTCCACCCAATGTGCATGACAGGACAGCACCACTGGAAATACTCTTGGGACAATGCACATGTGTTCGGTTGAGTAACATCACATTCTCACAGCACCTTATATGCAGAGAGATGGAGAGGCAATTCCCACTACACCTTCTGCAAACCACAAGCAGACAGAACCTGAACTATCCACTTATTATTTATGCCACTTTGTTTCTTTTTGGACAAGCATTATCATTACTATTAATTACACATATTGCAGTAATGCCCAGCTGCTCTTTCTAAATGAAGCCGGCACTTAGTTCTATCAGCGCAAGTTAATGACATTCATTACAGCTTGACCTTACCTTCCAGTCTGCATGCATATCTCTCATCTGCACATCCTTCCACAACGTATGCCACAAAGGAGCAAGTTCAGCACCCATAACTTTCCTGTCTGAGCCTGTATTTCATGGTATGTCTAAGTTAATTCTACCTCTAGGTCAGCCCAAATCTGCTGGCACTAACACAAAAGAGTGAAGTCTTTGACCTGTTATAGAATCAGCTAAATGCACCACTCAAATATGCTAGCTCTAACAGTATTACAGTTTTAATTTTTTCCCAAGGTTTCCTACAGGTTAAGTAGACAAGTGCATACATTAACAGCTACAACCCTTGAAGAAAACAGGTTGTTCTTCACTGATCTAAAAAATTAGTAACTCTAAGACCATCAGCTTCTGGCAACAGGATGACTACATTTAGCCACACCATCTCCCTGCCTGTCTTTATTAAATATTAAGGTAGACTTCAGCTGTAAATACCGAGGAAAAGACTTAAGTATTCTGACAGCTAAGTTCCTCTGTTTATTAAAAGACAACCATCTTCAGACAATTTATTTTTCTTCTTTTAAAATAATAATAAAAAAGGCCTAATTCTCTGTGCTAGAGATACAAAATGCTTAACAGTAACTCTTCTGATTTCTCTCCTATTCAGTCCTTTGGTGAAAGTAAGTATCAGCTGCTGCTTGAATAATATTTCATCTGTGGTTTGGCTATAGGAAAAGGCTATTCAGGATCATATTATGAAGCTTCCTGTATGTCTCCACAGGAAAATAAACTTTAAGGAAAATACTCAGGAAACCTACAAAAGGAAAAAGATTAAATATATTTGGGAAATCTGCATGAATGATAAAACTGTATATTCCACACACACACACACCCCCCTCTCTCACTGGCTGGCCTGCGGTGTTACAGTGATTTCTTTACTTGCTGTTTCTTAAAAAAATAATTTAAGAATTGTTAAGAATAAAAAAAAAACCAGCACCACCACAACCAACACCCCCACAACACAAAACTTGGAAAACTAGATGAACTAAGATTTGCCTTCCAACTTAAGTAGCTGTCCTCTATTTCTGCTGACATTTCTACCTAACGCTTCTTTCCCTGCTAAAAAAAAAAAGCATAACTAGAGTTTTAAAGGCAGCAATAACACAACTACACGACCAACAGGTTATAATAAAGCCAATACTTGCTTATGGCCTCAGCAAGATTTTGTGAATGCTCCTTCCCTGGCAGTATTACAGGCCAGGCTGGACAGAGCCTTGGGTGACATGGTCTAGTGTTAGGCATCCCTGACCACGGCGGGGGGGTTGGAATTAGATGGTCCTTTCCAACCCTAACCATTCTGTGATTCTATACTCAGCTGGCATGAAAACATAACTTAAATACTAAAACCAATGGAGTCGAATTAGAAAAATGACCTTTACGTAGATAACCAGCTTGTAGCGCAGTTGGGTGCTGGGAGAGATTCCTCAGAAGAAAACACTGGCAGCTGAAACTTCCTAGAAAGCATAGGAGCATTTAGCTTCTCAGAGTTCAGTGCACCCGAAAAAATGGGCTAGTAAAGGGGACAAGCCTAGGATGAGAACAAACAAACATAGGGTTTACTAACCCAATTGACTTTTATCTTTGCTCCTCCATCTCAGATCTTTGTCAGGTTGTATACCTAAAGGTGGTGCTGTGCAGATAGATTCCAACCCTAGCACCAACAATTTGTCTTAAAAGATCAGGCTGGCATCCTGACAGTATAGAATCACAACCACCTGATTTTTGACAGCTTTTCAACATTGAAAGTACATGAAAAGTACAATGTGACTCCTTCAGAAGAAAGGAGATTGTTTTTCTCATTCAAGAAGTTATATTCTATCCGTTTGTATCATTTTCTACCCATCTACAAAAATACCCATGAAAAACAAAGGAGCAAACTGATGAGGACACAAGCTCAACAAGACCCAAGAAGAGAAAGAGCATCCTTACATGCTGTCACAGAACTTCGTAAGAGTGCTGGGCTTTTCCTGGTTGCGTCTTTGTCGAAACCAACGTTGAATGCTGCGTACATCCCAGTCCAGCTGCTTGGAGAGGCCCTCCAGCCTCTTCTCATCTGGATGCTACAGAACAGAGAAGGATAAACATTATGTCTTTACCCAACTGAAGTGAACCACTGTAATTGCCCCTTGATGTCTTACAAGCTGCCTGTTGGACACAAAGAAATAAAATTACTTTCACAGAAATTTCTGCTTACAGATCCACATCAAAATAAGCTTACAGTGACTATTATTAATCTAGAAGGACATACGCTATAATATTGCAGGAGGTTATTACTATTAAGAAACTTAAGGAGGACAACGGCACGAAATCTTGCTTGAAACTAGGAAAATGATGAGAAGTAGTGATTGAATGCCATGAATTTCTCAGACAGTGGGGCTTTGAAACATCACCCTACCCTGCCGCAGGACACACTCTATGGCCTGCATCCCCTTGCATCAGGATCTTTGTCCTATATATTGTTGCAGTAATGAAGATTATTTGACAGACATGGAAAGAAGATATATCCCATGTTTGTACATGTTCACATTAAAAAATATGAGGTCATTAAACAAAGTAGCAAATTCAAAAGGAAAATCACCTTGACAACAGGGAGAAATGATTTTTTTTTTCCTGTAAAATTTGCTACACACAATTATTCTCCAAAGCAGCAAATGTGGAGCTCTCATTTTGTTAGAGTGGCTGTAAACCAGTGCAGATGTAAGGCAAAAGGCTATAGTTTGAACAGTATATGGAGAGGAGCAGTACAGGCCACACTTCCAATCACTCAGCAATTCTACGCATACAGTACTGCATGAGGACTATTTATCTATTTTCTCCTGATCACATTATTTTTTTAAGGAAACAGAAGAAGCTTTTGGACAATCTGTTTTCTGGAGTTTCAGCTTTATTTCTGCAAGCCAGTTACATACATTGAATGAGATACAAGAGCTGCCATTATAAAGACTTTTTTGAATGTTCCAAGAGGTAAAACAGCAAAGCTTTTGTCAGGCTGAAGATTCATCTATCGGCTTCCAGGAAAAGACAGGAAAGAAAGGAAATGGAAGGGAAAGGATGACAGAAGGGTAAAATATTTGTCATCCATCTCAGAAAAAAAAAAAAAAAATGGTTTTCTTATCAACCCAAAGTAGCCACTATTTTATCAATGGAAGGTTAGGAAAAACCATTCTCTGTAACTTTAGAAAAATCTAGTCAGAGTTTAACTAGAGAGACCTGTTGCATGTGACTCAAAAAAAGACAGCTAGGTAAATCAGATGGTTTCCTTGAGAGCACCTACCAAACAGCCCTACCAAAACCTCACAGGAAAGCAGATACATTCTTTGCGAGCGCTTTGCACTTGTCTCCATGCACTGGGTGCTGGGAACTGTGTGCCGGCTCCTAACATGACTCTCAGACTTTCACTTCACACACCCAGGCCCTGTGTTGGACTAGCAAATTCTGCAAGGAAAAATAAATTTAAATAAATAAATAAATAAATCCCATTTGTTCTTCCCTTAGCTGAGTCTGGGCCAGAGCACATGTGCTGCAGCTTTTAGAAACAAGGTATGTGTGATTCCCTCCCTGAAAACAGGACATAAACCACAAGTGCCACAGTGATCTCAGAATAGGGTAGGAGACATGAGCAAGACAGATCCACAGCATATTTCACTGTTCCTGACACTGAACCCAACTTTGCCTAAGACTTTAATACTCTCTGAAGTTTAGGCTGATGCCTTTGCCATGGTGTGCTTAGCTTTAGCCTGAAGCCGAGGTGGCACTGGGAAGTTCCTGCAGAATTTCATCCTCCTGGCCTCCACAGGCCTTCCTGCTACAAAATGACCACTGACCACTGGGGTTTTCAGTGTTCCTACTGATCACTCATCTCATCACTGTTCACTGCTACAGAAAAGGTCAGGATGCTGCAGAAGCATGGACAGAGTTTTAGTTGAGATGTCATACAGTGAGAGTTGCAGAGACAGATAGCAGCAGCAGGCAAACACTTGTACTGTGCAAAAAGGTTTGCAAGCTTCAAAACATTATTTTTTTCAGGTTCCCCCCCACTTTTCTACCACCCCCTCTCTCCAAATGTCAAAGGACATTCATCACAACATAAACAGCTAGGACACCAGCAAGCCACCAGCATCCTGTGCTCAGGCACCTTCCCTAGAAGGAACAGCTTTGAAATTTCATGGAAAACAGTAAGGCAAATCTTACTGACTCACAATTCTCTTTCTTTTACTTAAGGGAGAAAAACAACAACAACAACAACAACAAAAAACAAACCAAACCAAAAAAAAACACACAAAAAATAAACCAACAAAAAAACACCCCAAAAAACAACACCCCAAAACCAACCAAAACCAAAACCACACAAAGCCATCAAAAAACCCAGAATGTTTTTTTTGGTTTTTTGTTTTTTTTTTTTTAGTTTTTAAAAGATAAACAGCAAAACAAAGTAGGTGGCCATATGGCACCTACACAGTATAACAACTCTGTTTTGTTTAAAAGCTTACAGGAAACATCACAAAGGGATGCACAACTGTTCCAACTGGCATACAATAACAACCTTGACATTTCCATGGTCGGCTTTTAGCTGTAAAAATGCATCACTACATTTAACAGTTAGCTTTGTTTTATTCAGCTATGGTTTATAGTGCTGTATCCCGTTTTATAAGGTTAATATTACAATTAAATACTCCACCTTTGTAATAGCTGTGAAAACTTTTTCCAGAATAGCATTAGGTTGAGCTTTCTGTGGTCCGTTGGCTTGGACTTTAAGGCCTAAGGCACATGGTTTAGCAATGAACCTGTGAAAAACAGAAGAATGAAAAAAGGAAATAAGCTAAATCCTTCAGTTATTTACTCCATTACTGTTATCAATCAATTATGTGCAGTAAACACCCAAATATTATAACCCCCCCAACAAAAACGATACTTAGCCTTACAGCTCAGAAGTAGGCTCATAGACAGAATTTCATTGCAAATTAACATCACTTTGAAGGATGAAAGAAACTCTGCGGAGCACATGAAACACAGGATTTTCTTTCATGTTGTAAAAGAGAAAAGACAGAACAAAAGCATGAGACAAATGCCTCCTAGAGAAGCACCAACTAATCAAAAGAGCAGGGCAGCTTGCAGAGATGAAGAGCACGTAATATTCTCCATACAGAGCCTTTTTCATAAATTGGTTTCCAGAGTAGCTACTGCCTCGGGACTCCTTTTGCACAGTGGAAATTCAAACCAAGTCCTTAAAGGCAGTAAGCACTTAAGCTTCCCAGTCAATACAATTTTCTAAACGATAAAGTTTAAACGGTGTTGAGCCATGCCTCAAAGTCTTTGCTCTTCCTCCAAACTCTTCTGCTAAAATATGAAGCTGTCACAGATCCAAACACTCATCCATAAATTCATCCAGTTTATAAACTGGGTGTCTCTGGTACATTTTAAGCACTGGTTCAAGCTACAACTGCCGTTTCTGCTACGTTTAAGACAGCACACTTGATTAAAGAGAATTAAGTCCTAAGCAACGTCACAGTGGTTACAGCAAAAGCATTTGGTAAAGAAAAATGGATGATGCCAGACCACCTTGTTTTTCCAAGAAAGAATTCTTGGTACATTGATACTATTCCCACATGAAAGCCAGTTCTAAAGCCTGAAATAATTTTTGGTGACTATTTGCAAGGTGAGTGGGAAGTCATATATCCAGACACATGCAGTATATCAGTAAGCTTGTTATTTGATCCTTGTATGTTACAAGAGAAAAAAAAAACACCACAAAACAACTTATTACTTATTTTTTTGCAGTCTGGATTGGCAGTAGATTGCAACTGTACTGCTAGCTCCACAGCATCAACCTAACCAATGGCACTGCACAAGGTATAAATTTATCACTTTAGGGTTAAGAGCTTTGGCAATACCAGTTTCACCGAGGAACGTGAGAAGAAAGCAGTCCAGTTTTCTGCTCAAGAAACAGAAGCATATAAGCTCTGTACATGTTATATGTACATACACTGTAATCTAGCCACACTGGAAATTTGAGTGTACAAGGTGACAAAAGAAGCAAGAATTGTGTTGTCTGGTTCAACATGGACATAACCATACTGGCCATTGCTGTGAGGTGATAACCAAAAGGTAGCTGAAGAAGCTAAGAAAATGCTCATGGAGTTTGATTTCAGAAATTTAGTTTTTAATTCTAAGAAGTTGTAAAACACTTCTACTCATGTTACAGAGGGGCTGAGATTCTTAGCATCTATGTCGATGTTTTGTACCAGAAAGCCAAAAACCACTCAAAAGTTCCAGTCTTCACTACTGAAGAAATTAAATTTCCTGAAGACAAAGCAATAGAGCCAAAAAGCGGAGCCTAAGTCAGACATTAAAGGGGATGTCAAACAGTGTTCAAGTTAATTTTACAAAGCCTTATAGGAAACACTCTAAAAGTAGAGACAGGGCAGAGGAGTGCTGTAGGTAGAACAAATAAAAGAAATTAAAGACAACTTTATCAGCTTCAGGCATTCAAGGAAGAACCCAAGCTCAGCCTTAACCACCACCAGCAAGATCAAGAAACATTCGCTAAATAGACACAAAATAAAACTTGTTTCACATGGATTTTCTGAGCACTTGCAAAGTCAGTCTCTTCTGAAGTAAGACCTGATTTGGGAATTTTGTCTGTTTATAGGGTATGTTTTTTTTTGGTTGGTTGGTTGTGGGTTTTGGGGTTTTCTGGGGTTTTTATGTGGTGGTTTTTTTTTTTTTGTTTGGTTTTAAATGCCTGTATCTTTCAACTGCTGTTTTGTTTTTCTCCTTCTGCCAAGCAAAGGAATGACAGAGCCATGCTATAGCTCCAATAGAAAGGCAGTTCCCTAAACATGCCAATTGAAAAGAAGAAAAGAAAAGAAAAGAAAAAAGAAAAGAAAAGAAAAGAAAAGAAAAGAAAAGAAAAGAAAAGAAAAGAAAAGAAAAGAAAAGAAAAGAAAAGAAAAGAAAAGAAAAGAAAAGAAAAGAAAAGAAAAGAAAAGAAAAGAAAAGAAAAGAAAAGAAAAGAAAAATAATTTGGTAAAATCAAAATCAGATTAAAAAGTCCAAGTTAGAAAAATTCCACAAGGAGCAATTCCAACAAGCTTCATGCTGAGCTGATCTTCATTTAAATCTAAGCAAATCAGCTAAGTCTGCTTAAACGCCATTCTTAAAATGACATGTGTCACTAACGAACAGCCTAGATAAATCCAGGACAAAGCACAGTGTTTGCCTAGATTTTAAAAACAAAAGAAAATTGTTATATTGATATTATACTCATTACCTAAAACAAAACACATTTTCTGCTTCTGGTATTTATTTAACAACAATATAATTACTTATTTTTTCTTCCTCTGCTGCTTATGCTTTTCACATGCACTGGAGGAATGGGCACATGTCCACAAGGACAACAAAGCACAGTAAGTACATGTATAGGGAATGCAGCTGCAATACACAGGATGATCTTGGCCAGTTACGTCAGGGAGGAAAGGACAGGGAAAGCTTAAAAAAGCCCACAAAGGTCTGATATGCTTTTGTGATATGCTACTGATATGCTTTTGTGGTCCTTCTCCACATCTGAAAAAAAGCCTTAAAAAGAATTCCCTCAGGTGATTGTTAATTCCTATTAGGACATTCAAGGAAAATAAAGCAATTTCAACAGAAACCTTTTATATGCCTGCAATACTGAGCAGGTCTGACCACCAACTCAGGTGTGCAAAAGCCAAGTCCACATGATTGCCTTTGGAGGAACTGGTAAAATTTAAGAGATAGTTTTTACTTTTCATACAAAAACTTAAGAAATTCAAGCCATATTTTGCAATATAAAAATTGGTTTTCAAGGTTAAAATATAACTTTAAAATAGAATTCAATCAATAGGATCCCAAATGTCGCACCAGGTGTCATAAAAAGCATAATTAACATAATTCTCACCAACAGTTTTCCATAATAATTTAAACAGATTCATAAGTAAACAAAGCAGAATTAATGCTTGATACATGTACAAACTATGAGCATTTTGCCAAATGTTGCACTTCTTAAAAGCGCTATTCATTTTTTCCATTTCTGCTAATGCTGTGCAATTCAGTTCCCTAAGCAGTCTTACTGAAACCCACGGGACTATTTATTGCATAAGGTACTGCAATTAAGAGGGAATAACAGTTGTGAAAGAGTAAAGTGAGCAAAATTGAGTATATTGACAGCTTTTCTCTTTAAAACATGTAAATCTGAACAAAGCCACACTAGTATTTATTTTTTTCAGTGGATTACAATACAGCTGAACTGAAAGCTGATATTCAATTACACAGAAATTAAGGACAAGCACATTCTGCTGAATGCAGCCCCATCTATTCTGGATCTAGAAACGAAAGACTAACATAAACAAGGGAATTAAACTCAGAATTCAAGAACCTTTTTAAAGGCAGCTTCTTCATTCACAGTCTAAAGCCACATTTAAAAACAAAACCAATTCAAAAAGCCCACAGCCAGCCAGTTCAGGCAACGTAGGTTACTGCAGAGCATTGGAGTGGGAAGCACTCTGTCTCTGCAGACCCATAAATACTGCCCCCTTTGCCTGCAGACAAACATCTCTGAGTGTTCCATGCCCCTGAAGGCAGGTGCTAGTTTGCATTCTGGATTTTGTCTGTTTTTTCTCAAATCCATTATTTACAACAGCAACAGCTTGACCTTACACTCCACCTCAAACTCAGAGGTCAGCTTCTCCTCTAAAAAGGGGTCAAGAAACCCTTTACAAAATGATCCCCCAACTCGCCGACAGCATTAAAAGAAGTACTATTTCACCAGAAGTATGCAAATTTGTTCACAAACAAGCACCATTTTGGGTTTCTCACTTGTCCTTTAACAAACGCCAACTAGACAAAGACAGTGGCTATTACAACAGATGGCAGGCAGAAAAAGAATTTAAAAAAAAAAAACAAAACCCAAACCCACAAAAGAAAACCAACAACCAAAAAAACCCCAAGCTGTACCAAAACCCACCACCAGCACCATCACAACAATAAAAGAAGGAAATTAAAAATTGCTGTGGTGGAGGAAGGTATTAAGTGATCACAGCAGATGCTGTGCTGCATAGACTGAGAGGAGGATACCCCATGGCCATCAGCCCTGGCAAAAACAAAACCCTAAACCTGCAGACTCTTCAGAAGCCATTCCCAATACCCCACGCTAAATGTCTAATTCCTCACATTCATAAAATTACAGCTTAAAAATATGCTGGCTCCACTTCCTGGGAACTCCACACCCTGTGAAAGTTTCTCTTTAGAAATATGAATAGGTCAGATCTGCCATAAGCACGAACCATTGTGGGCACATAACTGCAGTATCACTGATAAAATAACCTTTAATGAAAGAGCAAGGAAAATGCCCCCTCTAACTCACAGAGCACTTTCTGTTCTCCTTTAATGGCTATTTGAACCTCACTAATTAATTACCATGTAACCTTTTACTTTACTGCTTTTCATCTCTACAAACTGCATAATTTTAATCCTGGAATTAACTAGAAATGGCAGTGTTGACCCTCAATAATACTTGGAGGCTGATGTTTATTAGCACTAGCAAATTCTGTGTTAAACAAACATTTTTTCAAAGTATCGCATTAAGGAGGAAGAGATAATTTTTGCATCTTTTTAATTTTGGTCAGAAACTAATACATAGCAACTCCTTAGTCATCTGGGGCACTGGAAATATGGGCACTCTTATGTCACACGAATGTGGTATTTCCATACCAGCAAGTCATCTCCCATTTCTGAGCTGACCACAGTGGATGCCCTTTAGCAAATC